TTTCTGCCATTAAAAATAAAAAAGTAGAAACCCTTATAGGGTGCAACGAATGAACCGATAAAGTACTTGATAATTAATGCATAGAAGTGAAATAATAATACTAAAAAGAATATATATATATTTATTATTATTATTTTTTTATTGGAATTTTAGTGCTCGACGATAAATCACTATGTATATAGATTAGTAAAAAAATCTAAATCCCATTAAATTTATAAATTTTTGTTTTTTAAAACGTTCAATTGCAGACATGTTTTTATCTATAAATTTATTCAAGTATACTATTAAGTAAAATTAATACATAAATTATTACGTATTATTTTTGTCTTTAATATCATGATAACAACTGCTTAAACAATTAACAGATATTTTTCAATATTATACTATTCAAATTTCAAAACTTTTTACTAAATAACGTATGTTAAAAAAATATATTAAGGTATACCTTAATAATAAATACATATCTTACAATTATAATGTGACAAAATTTCGTTAGTTCTTTAATTTACAGTAAGGGAAAGTGGGCGTTTGCTACCCAATGGATAATGGCGCTCACACTGATATCTAGACTTTTAATTAACATTATGAAATATTGCCATGATTAACAATTTACATAACTCCCTTCAAAATTTATCAGACGCATACCAGAAATAATTTTGCATATTTACAAACATTTATTGGATTAACATTTAGTTAGTAATATTATACAGTGGGATTTCTCAAGTATACTATCACTCAATTTTTCGTTAAATAATAATTGTTCTTATAAAAACGTATAGATTAAAATTTAACTGATTTTTGTAAAGCATTGTAAATGTAAATTTCATTGTAAGAAAAAATTATTCCTAAGGGTAGGTTATAGGGGTAGCTTTTGAAAGTTAAATAGGAACTTATTATTATTTATTTACTATTAAATGGAGAGTGATCTAAATAATAGTCGATAACGAGTGTTGCATTATTATTATTATTTCTTAAGTTGTTATAATTCTTATTAATAAGCGTTGACGTATACAACACGAAAGAATTCTTATCTTTGCGTTATGGTCTAGTAGAGTATGACTAAACATTTTCTCAACATTGCTGAATGTTAAAAATCCTGTTATCTCAAAAATTAATAATACAAGAATGATTAGCGACCAATCAACATTTCATTAAATAGTTGGAATAGAGGCTAAGGAGATGATGATGAAAAGTTAGTAAATAAAATATCATTATTGTAAAGGTAATAAATAGATAATTTTTTATTAACATTTTTTCACTTCAAATAGTTTTTTACTTGTAAAACGTTTAAAATCTTCTTTGCATTTTTTACAAAATTAATATTGAATTTCATTATATAATAAAAATAGATCACTAGTGACTAATATTAGTTAATTATCTTTTCTTGATTTTTAAGTAAGTTGTTTTATCTCTGTGGGTGAAATTTTTTTATGTTTAGAAATAAGAACAATTCAACTAATAGGGTTCTTTGCCCACTGAAAAATTTATTATTAAACTTGTATTAACAGGCATAATGTGATAATATTACTTAGTTAACATCACTAGGGATATATATGTAGTATTTATTTGGTTGGAGTGTCAGTGTGTGTTTAGTGTTGATAATGGTAACATCTTTCTCGAAACACGTATCTACAATTATTAGATTTAAATTCATACTTTTATTATAATTTAAATTTTATATACATATTTTTAACAGTATTTTATATCACATGATTATTATTATTATTATTTATGACTACTACTCCAATTGGAAATATGTATAAAATAACAGTTTGAATAGTAAATTATGTTATATAAAAATAGAAAGATTTTATTTATCTTCTGTTAATTATTGCAAACTATTTCAAGACATTGTTAAAAATAACAGTTATCCTTTTTTAGGAATAAGACTATAAAATACTTCGTAAACTTCAAAGTTAACGTTTTTAAATAAATCTGTAACAATATTAAAATAAGTGTTTAGATCCTTCAAATATTGATGTATCTGTGGTATTAAATCTTTACCATTTCTTAAATCTTTAAGAAAAATTTCTATCGAAATATAGTATTTTAAATGATATATATCAAGATTATAAATAAAGTGTTTTTGTGTTATTTGGAAAATATTATTAATAAATTTTGAATCTGGTAATTTATTAAATTCCTTTAATATTACATAAATTGCTTTTAAATCTGAATCATCTTGAAAATGAAAAAAATCTATAAACTGTATTACTAAATTTTTCATTGATTCCCAGAGTGGATTCAATTTTTCAATATCCCCCTTACGTTTNAATGAAAAAAATCTATAAACTGTATTACTAAATTTTTCATTGATTCCCAGAGTGGATTCAATTTTTCAATATCCCCCTTACGTACACACTTATAACCATAAAAGATTGATATGAGTAATCCTACATGAATATGAATATAAAATTTTATAACTCCAAATAAAGTATTTCTGTACTTTATTAATTCAGAATACTTTTCATCTATATCAACCCATTTACTGATAGCGTCATGATAAGTTTTCATTAAATGTTCCATGTACTCGTATTTGAATGTAATAGCTGTACAATTCTTAAAAATTGTTTGTAAAGATTTGTTATTCAAAATGATATCAAATAAAAATATATTTTGTGGTGTATAAATATGAACTATGTCTTTTTTGTTTCCGAATTCATTAATGATTTCTTCATCAAGGATTTTCAATTTTGAGGGAATTTCATCAATAAAAACAGTTAATTGAATTTGTAATAGTTCTTGAATGGTTAATTTTTTAGTAGTTTTTAAACGACTGAGTATCCCTGGTTTCTTTATAGGTTCATCGTCGTTAAGTTTCATTTGATCTTTAATTAACTTAATAGCATTATATATGTGATAAGCTCTTATACGAATGTCGTTATCTTTTTTATATTTTACCATATGTTTTGTAGGCTCATAAAATTCATCAACTGAATTCAATAGTATATTAAGCTGCCATAACCACCAAATGTTGTGCTTGGAAGTCGAACTTAATATGTGTGCGATTCGCTGTCCAAAATGTTTGAAATATATTATGAACTTATCATTGTCATTATAACGATTTAGGTTTATATCGGATGCCCATTGTTGAAATATTTCTAGAATATATTTTATTTTTTCTGCAATATTTCGTGGAATTTCAAGATTATCTACATTATCTCTTAATGAATGATCACATTTAATGACAGCGATAGTTATTAAGAAAATGAAACATACCTTTGCTATCTTCATGGCTGCAGTAGATTTTTCAATATTAAATTTTAAATTATTTTATTTTATACTTTTAGTTTTAATTTGACTAATACACTTATGAAACGAAACTAAAATAATAGTTACGAACTTTTCTATTTAATAGTATCTACACAACAGGTTTTTTTTTTTTCATACATCGTTGAAAATAAACTCTTAAGTATACAAGCTATTAGATTTGACATATTTTTTTTACAGTACAATCATAGACAAACTTAAATAAAAAAGTTATTTTATTACGGTGTTATTTCAGCTTTTCGACAGTACTGTTTGCTTCTGATATATTCAAAAGCAATTTTAATTAAAATAATATTTCACGAAAAAACAATTAATCGTACAAGCGTTACAGTTATGACAGTTGTAATTCAGTGTTAATGCTTAACTAACCTTGATAGATTTTGAAAAAGTCTAAAAAATGATAAATAGATAATCAGCTATTTGGTTATTTCAGTAACTATTTTAAATAGTGTTCCTTAGACTATTCTTAGTAGACAGGAATACAATGGGTTTGTCAAAAACTGAAAACCTACTTTTTTTAATCTTATCGTAAACTCTACACTCCGTTAATAGATTTATTGGTATTACTAATGACTTTTTAGAAATATTATGATATATTTGTAAAGTAATGTTTTCATAGATCATATTGATATTTACACTTGGATATTGTGCATGTATTTTAAATAAATTTACGCACTAATGAAATATTCATAATTAGATAATAAGTTCACTAGGGGTATATAAGTGGTATTTTATCGGCCGTGATGTCAGTATTTGTTTAGTGTTGATAATGGTAATATATTTCCCGAAATATGTATTCTCGATTTTTAGTTTTAAATTCATATTTTTATTATAATTTGAATTTTATATACATATTTTAACAGTAATTTATACCATATGATTATTATTATTTATGACTACTACTCCAATGGGAAATATATATATAAAATAACAGTTTTGAATTGTAAATCATATAATTAAAAAAAGATAGGTTTTATTTATCTTCCGTTGTTTTATATCTTGTTTTCAAAAATACCTAAGATTCTTTTATTTCAATTATTTTTGTATTTCATTTAATATTAACAAATTACTTGTATCAAAAAAAAGATCATTAAAACCTCATAACATACCCATGGTTTAATAAGTTTTTTTAGCATTACGCTCAAAATAGAATCTAGGGAACAAATTAAATTTTATTTAATCTAGTTGATAATGGTTTAAAAAAAATGTAATTTAATTATTGTTTCTATTTTACAGGCACAAAGCTAGATTTTTTTTCTCACTTACAAGTGAGACTCTAGTGGTTAAAAAAAAAAATCAATATTTATTTCTTTATCCATTTTAACCAACATATTCCTATTTATCTATTCTTATTAATGTTATACATATTCATCAAGAATTTTTCATAAAAATATAACCATTGAAGATTTATTATTTAATAAACTAAGGTATATGTATAGTAGGAGAGTGTATGTATTTGCCGCCCTATATGCTATCTAGCCATTTAATTAGCTTAATAAAATAATGCCAAGATTAATGCATTCTATAACTTCCTTTAAATATTTTAAACACTCGTGTCAAATTAATTTAATCATATTTTTGCCAAAAAATTCTTAAGTAAACACTATATTTGAACTGCCGTTTTTATAAGTCTTATAAACAATAATGTGATATTTTTTTATAAAAAATATTAACACATATGTTATTTTAAAGTAATATTTAGTTTCGTTTATTAGTAGTGTCTAAAATCATTAAATTGTGCGCATATATGATAATGTTCAGAAATGATATTTATTTAATAAAACATAATATAGTTTTTTAACAGTTTTTCGTATTATTCTGTCTAATTCTTAATAATTTTTTTATTATACATAAAATATTACATTTAAAGATACAATTACATGGTTAATGAATTTATTGTGCATATAATAATAAAACAATGAACGATAATTATTGCATACATAATATAACTATTTCAAGACGTTGTTAAAAATAAGAGCTATCTTTTTTAGGGATAAGACTATAAAATACTTCGTAAACTTTAAAGTTAACATTTTTAAATAAATCATTAACAATATTAAAATAAGACTTTAGATCCTTCAAATATTGATTTACCTGTGGTATTAAATATTCACCTTCCCTTAATTGTTCAGTAAAATCTGTTATCGGTAAATTATATTGTAATTTATACATATCGTGCTTATATTCAAAGTATTTTTTTGTCATTTGGTAAATGTTTTGGATAATTGATGATCGTGGTAATTCATTATATTTTGTTAGTATTACAAAAATTTTATTTAAATCTGAATCATCTTGAAAATGAAAAAAATCTATAAACTGTATTACTAAATTTTTCATTGATTCCCAGAGTGGATTCAATTTTTGAATATTCCCCTTGTTTTCACACTTATAACCATAAAAGATTGATATGAGTAATCCTACATGAATATGAATATAAAATTTTATAACTCCAAATAAAGTATTTCTGTACTTTATTAATTCAGAATACTTTTCATCTATATCAACCCATTTATTAATAGCGTCATGATAAGTTTTCTTTAAATGTTCTTTGTACTCGTATTTGAATGTAATAGCTGTACAATTCTTAAAAATTGTTTGTAAAGATTTGTCATTCAAAATGATATCAAATAAAAATATATTTTGTGGTGTAAAAATATGACTTGTATCATTTATATTTCCGTATTCTTTTTCAATTTCTTCATCAAGAATTTTCAATTTTGAGGAAATTTCACCATTAAAAGCATTTAAAGGAATTTCTAATTGACTTTTATTGATTGATTTATTAGTAGTTAAACAACAACCAAATGATCTAGTATTCCTTATAAGTTTATTATAGTAAAGTATCATTTGATTTTGAATTAAATTGATAACAGTAGAAATATGTTTAGTTTTGTGACAGTTTTCTGTTTTTCTTTTTACTCTATCCAATTTTTCTATAGGCTCATAAAATTCGTTAAATGAATTTAAAAGTATATTAAGCTGCCATAACCACCAAATGTTGTGTTTGGAAGTCAAATTTAATATACGTGCGGTTCGCTTTCCAAACTTTTTGAAATATATTTTGAAATTTTCAATGTCATTGATTATATTTACGCTTATATAAACTGCCCAAAAGTCAAATAGTTCTAGAATATTTTGGACTTGTTCTATAATACCTGTTGAAACTTTAAGATTTTCCGCTTTATCTTTTAATTTGGGGATACATTTAATGACAGCGATAGTTATTAAAAAAATAAAACCTACCTTTGCTATGTTCATGGCAGCAGTAGATTTTTCAATATTAAATTTTAAATTATTTTATATTTTAGTTTTAATTTTTTCAAATACACTTATGAAACGAAACTAAATATAATAATTACGCACTTTTCTGTTTAATAGTATTTATAATCGATATTTTTTTGTTTATAAATTGTTTCAAATAAATTATTAATTATCACTATTAGATTTGACATATTTTTGTCATAGTACATCCACAGAGACATATTAAAAAAACGTTATTTTTTTAGTTTGCTATTTCAGCTTGTGTGTGTTAAATTAATGTTTCCACACATTATTTGTGTACACAATAAAAATGTAACTTTAATGATCAACTTCACTAAAAATTTTTTAAGTAAAACAATCGTTAATTTTCCTTTAGAATTAAAGTAATCATAATACATAGTGCTCGCCAGTTTTTATCATCTACAATTACTTTTGACATCGTTAATATTTTGCGCTACTCATTGTTTAATAATTCTTGCAGACTTTTATAGAATACACGACGACCGACGTTTTAAAATCAATATTATTTTGAATTACGCTTAATATAATTGATTTTGTGGTCTTTGATATATGTTATCTAAAGCTTTGCGTTTGCAATCACTAGATACTTATAAATAATGAGGACTGAACGTGGTCCGTAATCCGTATTTTCCATAAGAAATATTTAATGAACTGTAGGATAAGAAAAACTTTTATTTGTGTGATTAAAAATTAAAAAATACTTATTTGGTTTATAATTACACCAAGTTCATTTACACGAGTGAAATATAAGGCAACTTCATCAAATAACATCTGTTTGTACTGCTATATCCCAATCAGAAATTTATAACAGGTGCATTACTGAGCCAATAAAGGCTGTTTTGGGGGCTATCAGTACTGGACCAATACAGACATATGTCTGGCATAATAATATTTTTCTTTCCTCATAAACAATGCTGAAAGTTTTGTGTAACCAGTATAAGGCTAGTTATCTGCTAGCAATTACATCCAAGTGCTTCCTACCAATACTGCAGATCAGTTCTTGGATAAGATGATAACCTGTACTGAGCTAGTTCCATTTGGTCAATAGTCACCTGTTAGTACTTGTGCAATACTTCGCTCGTTATAAATACTGGTACTCAACAAATATTTCTACTTGGCATAAAAATGCACAAATTATTACAAAACAATTTTACTATCATGTCTCTATATAAATTTTTATATATTTTTAAAGGAAAAAATGTACCTCACATAGTGGGTGTAAAATAAGTGATCCAAATTCCAAAAAATTTTATCTTCATCGTAATTTTATAAGATATTTAATGGTCGACGATAAATTAATTACTCTGTATACTATTTCGTTTAGTAAAATTTAGAATAACTGTTATTCTTTTATTTATAAATTGTTACAAGTAAAATGTATTAATAAACTTCTTTTTTCATTTGTTTTTTCTTTTTGTAGCATGATTTACTGCGGTTAAAACATTTAACAGGTATTGTTTTTCTATTTTATATTATTAACTTAATACTTTACAAATTTAAACTTTATTACATACCTATGGTAAAATAAATTTAGCGATACGTACAAAATAAAATCTACGAAACAAATTAATTTTATTATATTTATTTAAAAGCTAGTTGAGAATCTTAAAAAAAAAAAATAATTGAAATATATTTTACAGGTACGAAACTAAAATTTTTTTTCACTTACAAGAAACTAGTGGTTGAAAATGAATAAAATATATGTCATTTATAATCCTTTTTTTAACTCATCTTAACTAAAGTATTCTTATTAGAATTTCATACAGAAAAATTTTTAGAAATACTTTACTTATTAATTTCATTCATAAATGTTACACAATTTTTTTCGTATAAATGTAACAAATAAAGATTTATTTATATAATAAACTTAGATAATTTTGCAGTAAAAGAGTGTATGCATTTGCCGCCCAATGGGTAATGGCGCTCAATTTGGTATTTGGCCATTGAATATATTTTATAAAATATTCCCAAGATTAATGCATTTTATAATATCCTTTAAAAGCTATTATATGAATACTTTTGAATTCCATATAATTTCATAATTATTCATGGGAATTCATTTTTTATAAGCTATTGATTTAATTTTCGGCTTGGCGACTTTAGCTACAAATAATTATTTAATAATTTAACTAATTAATTAACTATTAATCATTAATTATAAGTAACTTTATGGATTGTTGGTACTAAATAATTATAAACCTGGTTATAAATCGATAAGCATTTAAGCACGAGAAAGTGTTATTGGAGTAACAGATGGTTGAAAACTATTATATGTTATTATATTTTAGTATTCAAAATATTATAACTTTATAGATATATGTGATAGGAATATACATGGTAATTGTTATTTCTGTGTTTTGTCAAAATTTGGCAACATTTTTTTAAAAATAATATCTCAGACACTTGTGCCATATTACTTAGATGATGTTTTCGCCAAAAAAATTTTAAGTAAACTTTTATTTAAATTGCCGTTTTTATAAGTCTTATAAACATTAAAGAAATTATATTTATTTAATAAAAAATAATATAGATTTTTAATATTTTTTAGTATTATTCTGCCTAATTCTTAATAATTTTTTTATTATACATAAAATATTACACTTAAAGATACAATTACATGGTTAATGAATTTATTGTGTATATAATAACAAAACAATGAACTGTAATTATTGCATACGTAATAATGACTATTTCAAGACATTGTTAAAAAAAAAAGATATCTTTTTTAGGAATAAGACTATAAAATACTTCGTAAACTTTAAAGTTAACATTTTTAAATAAATCTTCAACTATATTAAAATAAGACTTTAGATCCTTCAAATATTGATTTACCTGTGGTATTAAATATTCACCTTCCCTTAATTGTTCAGTAAAATCTGTTATCGGTAAATTATATTGTAATTTATACATATCGTGCTTATATTCAAAGTATTTTTTTGTCATTTGGTAAATGTTTTGGATAATTGATGATCGTGGTAATTCATTATATTTTGTTAGTATTACAAAAATTTTATTTAAATCTGAATCATCTTGAAAATGAAAAAAATCTATAAACTGTATTACTAAATTTTTCATTGATTCCCAGAGTGGATTCAATTTTTGAATATTCCCCTTGTTTTCACACAGATAAACATTAAATACTGATGTGATTAATCCTACATGAATATGAATATAAAATTTTATAATCCCAAATAAAGTATTTCTGTACTTTATTAATTCAGAATACTTTTCATCTATATCAACCCATTTATTAATAGCGTCATGATAAGTTTTCTTTAAATGTTCTTTGTACTCGTATTTGAATGTAATAGCTGTACAATTCTTAAAAATTGTTTGTAAAGATTTGTCATTCAAAATGATATCAAATAAAAATATATTTTGTGGTGTATAAATATGAACTATATCTTCTTTATATCCTAATTCTTTTTCAATTTCTTCATCAAGGATTTTCAATTTTGAGGGAATTTCATCAATAAAAACAGTTAATTGAATTTGTAATAGTTCTTGATTGGTTAATTTTTTAGTATTTTTAAAACAATTTAATAGCCCAGATTTCTTTTTAGTTTTATCGTAGTTGAGTTTCATTTGATTTTTAATTAATGTGATAACATTACTAATGCGATTCATTTTATTAATCATTTTGTATGTTTTAATGTTTATCTCCAAATATTTTATAGGCTCATAAAATTCATCAACTGAATTCAATAGTATATTAAGCTGCCATAACCACCAAATGTTGTGTTTGGAAGTCAAACTTAATATGTGTGCGATTCGCTGTCCAAAATGTTTGAAATATATTATAAACTTTTCTTTGTCATGTTTACGATTTATCCATAAGTCGAATGCCCATTGTTCAAATATTTCTACAATATATTGTATTTTTTCTGCAATATTTCGTGGAATTTCAAGATTATCTGCATTATCTCTTAATGAATGGTCACATTTAATGACAGCGATAGTTATTAAATAAATGAAACATACCTTTGCTATCTTCATTGCTGAAGTAGATTTTTGAAAATAAAGTTTAAAATTACTTAATTTACTTTTTAAATTTTTATTTTCTGTATATTATAGTGAAACTAAACTAAAATTAATAGCTGGGTGCTTTAGTATGTAATAGTCTACAATTAATATTCTTTTGTTTACAAAATATTATTAATGCTATTAGATTTGACATATTTTTCTCGTATTACAATCATCTACAAAAATAAAAAAGTAATTTTATTACGGTGATATTGCAGCTTTTGAATCAGTATTGTTTGCTTCTGATAATATTAAAAGGAAAAAAAACATAATGAATCGTACAACCGTTATGACTGTTTTTTCAGTGGTAATGCTAATCTAACCTTAATAGATTTTGAAAAAGTCTAAAAAGTGATAAGTAAATAATCAGGAATTTGATTATTTCACTAACTATTTTAAATAGTGTTTCTTAGACTATTCTATGTATAAAAAATTCATTTTTATTGATTGAATTATTACTAGTTATAAAACGACCAGAGAACTCAGTATTTCATTTAAGTATATTGTGTTAAATTATCATTTGATTTTTAAATTACTTAATTATATACATAATATAATTGTATGATAACAATATTTATGTAATTAGCTCATATACAAATGTTCTTTTTTAAATGTTTCAATATGTTTTGTAGGCTCATAAAATTTATCAACTGAATTTAAAAGTATATATATTGAGCTGTGCCATAACCACCAAATGTTGTGTTTGAATGTCAAACTTAATATTCGTGCGATTCGCTCCCCAAAAACATTGAAATATATTATGAACCTGTCATTGTCGTCGTTATGTTTTATGTGTATTTTGAATGTCTATTCTATAAATATTTGTAGAATGTATTGTATTTGTTCTACAATATCTGTTGAAACTTCAAGATTTTCCGCATTATCTTTTAATGTGGGGTCACATTTCATGACGGCGATATTAATTAAGAAAATGAATCCTTTGTTTGCTATCTTCTTGGTTGCAGTTGATTTTTTAAAATGAAATTTAAAAATTATTTTATTTCATGTTTTAGTTTTAACTTTCAGATACACTTATGACACCAAACAAATATAAGAGATACGCACTTTTCATTTAATAGTATTCATAACCGGTAAATTTTTTTTGTTTATAAAATGTTTCAAATAAACTCTTAAGTATATACGCTATAAGATTTGACATATTTTTCTAATAGTACAATCATCGACAAACATATAAAAAATTTATTTTTCTATGGTGTGACTTCAGCTAGTTTGTGTTAATCCAAAGAGTGCGTATTTTTCCAAAATCAATTAATAATAATATCTCTGTCAAATTAATCTTGTTTTCGCCAATACGCTCTTGAGTAAACGTTTTATTTAAATTTCCGTTTTTATAATTCTGTAATACAAATGTGTATAATAAAATGTGATGTTATTTATAAAAAAAAAATAATGATTCTTTCTTTTTGTCTTCTTGTCAACCGCGGTTGTTATGGGAAACTTAATTTTTATTCTTCGATATCTCAGTACCGTTGGTAGTCGTTTATTGTCATGATCAAACTTGATTACTGAAACTGAAAATTTAATAAAATTTCATACGAGTCGACGGATCTTAAATGATCATTATAACGTAGTGGAATAATGGACCGAAATAGATATAACTGTCGTCGGTAGGTAATCGTGTAATGGGTATTGATATTTCATTAGCACTTGGCCGATTAAGTGGAATTGGCATTTTTAAAACAGTTTCGGCAGCAGATTTTTAATGACAGAGTAGCGAATAAATTTCAAACACCGCGCGCATGTTAAATTAAACTAATAATTGTTTCTCAAAAAAACCTGATTTTCGTTTTGGTCAACACGCAGAGAGGGGAAATGTGGTGACCAACGGGAGACTGAGCGAGGCGCCGTAGACCCCACCTTCGGGGGAGCCTTACACTGCTGTCATAAGGGTGAATCGGTAGCGGTGGTGGTGGAAAGGAACCACCTGAGAGATTGCGTGCGCGCGCATACGTCTTCTTCTGCGGGCGCTAGCCGGTGAAATAAACGTTTGAAAAAAAAAAAAAGGAGGAAAAGAATAACGAAATAATATTAATAAAAAATAACACAGTGGACCCCGCCGCCGGTCAGTAGAGTATTGCCACCGTCGCAGTCGACGCCGCCCGAACACACACGCGGTGTACTACTGCTGCAGTTGTAGTGGTCGACACATTCTCACATACACACACACACACGACAAGCCGTCGGATACCGACGTCGGTTGTATTTTAATAATAAAATACTAGTAGTATTTTTATCGTTATTATTATTTTTATAATAACAATTATTATTTCTTCGGTTTGCAAAACTCCAGTCGTCACACCGCCTCTCTTGCGTTTCGCGGGCTAACAACACTCGTTCGCCACACTTGTCGTTTGGACACATCCGTCGAGTTCGCGTGCGACGACACTTAGACGTACACGCACGTTGTTCGGTCCGAGGAAATCTAAAAAACATTCGTCGTGAAGTCGCAGTGAATTATTTTTTTTTATCGTTCGCTCGAGATTTTATTTTTTGACTTTTACTATAAATTTAAATCGCATTTTGTGCGTTTCTTGTTTTGTTACTTTTCATTTAAACGGATTGTTTCTTGGATTTTTTTTTTTTTTTGTGACCTGCTCCAGAAAAATATACAGGAATTTATCCCGTCAAAGGTAAAAACTTAAAATTGTTTTTCATTTTATTATATTTTTTTTTATCCTTCATTATTCACCGATTTCATTTTATCTTTTATCACCACAATCATTGCCTGTAGTGTGATTATTATTCAACGTGAAAATGGTTTTGTTTTTTTTTTTTGTAAAAATACAAGTTTAACAAATTTTCAAAAAAATTATATTTTTGCAATTTTGACGTTGAATAAAGTCACTTTTTTTTTTTTTAGTTATAATATGAGAAAATCTTAGGGCGAGAACGTTTTATTCGGTTTTTACTTTTACTAAACTCTTTTTCTAAATTTAAGAAAAATAATAAACAATATTAATCTATTATCATTCACATATCAACGGGTGGCGGCAAAAAAAAAAATAATAATTTAGATTATCTATTTCCGTTATCATTTGTACTTTCCCGTGAATTTAATTTGAATATTATATTTGTTTGAAATTCAATTGAAATTCTTAACATATTTTTATTTTTTCTCAAACGTGGCCATGATGTATTCAAATTGCATTAAAATGTTCGAACCCGATAGATTCTCGCAGTTGCAGTAGACGCCTTCTATCTGAGAGCCTTCCGAGTGAATCATTAAAAAACAAAAACGTTTGTAACAGTTGACGCGTTGCCGTTGTATCCGCGATAAAACGGAGATATTTACATATTGATTTCAAAATAATCTATTTTAACCATTGCCCGCGCAACAAGTGCATGTTGCGCGCTCGTTAAAAATATTTCAAGCGTTGTATTTAGGAACCTTAATTTTTTATGTGTCCGACTTGAACAATACAAAACTCGTGTAGAATTTCTCAACGAATTTTTCGCCGTTAAAACAAAAACCTTGATCGTGTCGTACTATAATTGTGCATTTATATTTTATGGGTGTCTGTTCATTACTGTCTCTGTTGTCCGTTGCGAAGACAATGGAATTAACTTGGTTGTGTGTACGAATAGCCGGCGGTGAAGATCCGACTGGGGTCCGACTGTAATGCTTTTTACACGTGCATTAGTATGCGCAAGACGCGCAGTGCGACGACCGGCGGACAAAAGGCCCTGCCAAAGGGGTCCGCCGAGACCTTTGTCCAGCTGATTTCTGCAGGGACACTGCGGTGCTAGCCGTAGATGTTTGTGTGCGCGGTGCAGGGACATAAGAACATCATGGGAAAATATTCTCTGTCGAACGGACTTTCGAGGGTCTTCCGCAGTTACCCCACGTATTTATTGTGCCCGTGGAATTATATGTATCAACGGCTATAACAACCAGACCCAAACGATGTGTGCACAGTATTGTCCACAGGTGACCCCTCCGAAGTGCGTTTTGTACGCTTGTTGTTAAATCTCACGACAATATTTCAAAATGCGCGGAAATCGTTTTCCATGATATTTTATTTCTATTGAAATTAGTTAAAAAATGCGGTTCTTTGTTTCCCCCAACGGTTCACTACTCTTTGTTGCAACGCTGTATAATTATTCTCTTCTTGATAAATCCAATGGTAATTATATTATTTACATTATAACTAAAAAATTAAATATAATTCTCTAGTTTATGTATTAAAATTGCATAAATTATCATACGTAAGTGATTGTGCCAACTAATTTATGCTCGATTTTTTTTAAATTATACACATATACGACGGCAAAACCCCGGGGGTTCTTAAAATTTGCAATTTCATATTTTTAAAAATGTCCTTTAGGTACGAAAACAAATATTTCTGACGGGTTTCGCGTTACAACGTTTGTTCTTCTTTGTGGTTATTATAACATTTTAATTTCTACTTGTCAGTTTTCGTAGACAGAAAATCCGTGTGTTTTAAGGCCAACACCGTTTCGATTCCGATTATTGTTACAACTTCTCGTGTAGATAATTAGTATTTGGTATGTGTGTGTGTGTGTGTGTACTCGGTAATTATGTATTTTTTCTTTTTACATGTATGATGTAATTAAAATGTAGACGATGTTCGAAGGCTAACTCATAACAATGCGGTACAGATTAAAAAATAAATAAAATAAAAACCTATAGACTTTTCCATGTATCGGCCGGCCGTGATCATCGTCAAGTGGGCATTAATATCGCTACTTTCGAACATTAATCAATAAGTAGAAGTAAAGAAAAAAAAAAAAACGTTTTCATTATAAATGAACAGTCGTCGACGATTCGGAAACGACTATAAGATCGACATGTATCCATCAATCAAGAACAAGACCGGAACATGAAACGTTAATAGGTTTGGTCTGTCCTTAAGAAATAATAAACTAGCACATCTATATTATCATTACTCGTGTGTACTTTAGTTCTTCTGTAATTATTTCTCTTCAAATGCTATTGATGAATTAATATTGTAAACAATCCGCGAAAGCTTTAACACATTCACGCGTTTACATTTATTTTTTCCGATTACATTTTTCTATTGGTGAATCAAAAAGATATTAAAAAATTTCTTATAGATGACGGTGGGCACCATTAATCCGAATAGACGTTTGCGATTCGCGCCGTCAACGATAATCGCATTTTGCATACCGACCAACGAGTGGCGGCAGCGGCTGTCCGTAAAACGCTTAAAAAATAAATTTATACGCGTGTGTCTACATAACGCTTAAAGATGCGATATGATTAAATGTAAATCTTTGGGGGTCCTCCGACGGTGACGGCCATGATGCGATGTGATGTACGATTGTAAAGTAATCTCGTACCG